AGGTGTATGATGTGTTTGCTCCATGGTGCCATGGGCTCGGTGCATGTAGGATCTGAGCAAAGTACTTTTACAGGTTGGTCGTCGAGCATAACTAAGTCTTCAGGCCCTTGGGTTTGAGCGGCTACCTGGAGGCTTTGGGGACTAAATAGGGAGGGTAAGGGGAGTCTCACCTGGGGTATTTATGCTTTCGATGCCAGTTGATGCTGCTCGTGCTGTCACTATAGCTGCCACCGCTGTGATACCAGGAACAGAAAGCGACAGTGGCAATGCCGCACAAAGACGATGATGTGACGAGGAGAAGGCTTGAAGGACTACGATCATGATGTTGATGCCGGTGTTGGTGATGATGATGGCGTGACGATGGTGATGATGATGACGATGATGATGATGATGATGTTGATGACGAAGATGATGACGATGATGCTGGTGGTGCTGGTGCTGATGCGAAAGGCTGCTGAAGAACAACATGCTAGTTACGACGGTTCTGCTCCGCATGAAGCTGACGCTTATCACGCCCCCGCCAAAAACGCAACTTCCAAGAGATAAACTCTTCAGGCATGAGCCTTCTCAGCCTGCAAAGTTGGCAGGGAGACGCAAGTGCTATCATAATCAGAGTAGCGTTGAAGCTTTGGGCGAAAGGACTTTGGCTGAAGGGTCGTGAGGGGTTGGAGGCGCTTTCGCTTTACGCCCCACATAAACATCTGCAGATTGAGTACCTTACGGAGATAGCACCTCGGAAAGTTGAGGCATACGTTGTGGGGCTTCGCTGGCCTGGATTGAAGGTTGGACGGACTGGTCGTTTGCCGACTATTTTTCTCCTGGTCCTCGCATGTACGTGGGAGGTTGTTTTAGCAGCCTGGGCATGCTGCGAATGACACAATAGGAAAAACTCGACAAAACGATTCGAGTCGTCAGGGTATGAGCCACCGGCAGAGATTTTCTGCGGCTCACGGTGGAGTCGAAACAAAACCCACCAACAATGGTAAAAAAGTTGGCACAGGCCTGGCAAAACGTAGTTATTCGACATGCTTGCCCCTCAATTCGTCATTGACTGTAAGGTAGGGTTACCTTCTTGGGTTAGGATTTCCAGCATTCCCAATGGTCCTTCCTTCAGAAGGACCTCCTTAACAAACCCTTCACACGCCAGGGCTGTGTGAGTGTGTCTCACGAAACGGCGGTCCAGTCTCCTAGACCGGATGGAATTCCATCTGGCAAAACCAGTGGCCCCCAACACAGACCCTCAACACCACATTAAGATCCTTGCTGCAAGGATGCCTGAATAAGGTATCCCCCCCGTTGTAGCCCTTGACTGCCGTGTTCGGAACTCGACAACAACCCGTAAGCTTTCAATCCGTAGACTCGGAACTAAAGCAATACCTAAACTCTATTGCAGACGACCGCCGGTGTCCCTGCAAACACTAAGTTCTGGACCTCAGAAAACTGCTCTGGGGTTGATGATAACGCTTATATACGCAGGCGTTCCGGGTATAGGAGCAAAGTGACGTGAGTTTAGGTTCGACATTGTGGTGAGCGCAAGGAATCCTCAGCAATGTTTGTGAGAGGTTTTGCCCGGGGTGTCATTAGCGTGGTAAGAAGATTCTTGGACTTCACCCTGATCCCGGATCCTTCGACAACGAACACTATGTAGACTATCTCTCTCTCTCTCTCTGTCTATATATAGATATACATAGACAGATATGTAAATAAATAGATAGATAGATGGATAGATATATGTTTAGAGATGAGGGGTCTGGGGCTTGGCCTTCGGGCTCAGGCTTTATTGCCAGTGTAGAGTTTGGAGTTGAGGGCTTGCTTCGAGGCTCGGGGGTGACTTACGGCTGATGATGTAAATCCTGCATTACCCAGAATAAGGAATATACCATAGTTCCCATAGTTTAGGGCCCTTAAGGTAATGCAGGATTTATATCATCAACAGTAGTAAGGGTCTATGCATTGGCAAGACAATCTACTTGTCGCTGCACTCTCAGACAGCACCGCCCTGCTTTGATTCTGATTCAGGTGTCGGCAGCAAACCCTTCATGCCAAGCTCCATGTCGCTTCATGCGGGGTTCAGGGTCACACATGGTGCCGCTCTCTCTCTCTCTCTCTCTCTCTCTCTCTCTCTCTCTCTCGTAGATTGACCAGGGCTTTGCCGCTATTTGCGAGGCATCGTACAAGGATCCACTTCTACCCCTGCAGGCTAGGCTGGCAGGCTAGGTCTCTCGCTAAGTCTCTCGAACCTCCCAGAAACCTGGTCTTGTCAGCCGAAATCCTGGTTCAACAAACTCAATCCATGCCTTTAGCCAGCAATCCCAAAATAGCACCCAAAACACCGATCATTCGCAGTTTTGGTGTACTTAATGATACACACGTAGAGAGAGTACATTGAGATCTTGTGCTCTCTAACCCCTAGACTGCGTGGTGTTGGGGCTTGGTTCGGCCTTTCGGTCGGACGCTTCGACACCCCCACGTACCAGCTGAATTGGACGACCCCCCACGAGGATAGGGCTTTAGAGGGTCAGGGCATCGGACGTGTCTTTGGGTCGTCGGAGCCTGGAGGATCTTAAACCCGGGTGAGGGTGTCAGGCGAAGGTTTGCAGCGAGGAATTGAATGGAGGGTCAAAGAGCTTTTTTGTGCCTGTTACAGTACATGTGCCCTGTAAGTGGAGGAGCCGAAAAGCCTGGGTGTCAAGACAACGGTGTTTCGCATGTGGGGTCGCCTTGCAAGGCAAAGCCAGGGTGACAAGCTGTCTGCGCTGAATACGCATGCTCTGATATCAGCCTGTTGAAGAAGCACTTGAAATGACCATGACTCCAGCCGAGCCGTTCTGCTGTGATATCCTTTGCGCTGTTAGGTAAAGATAGCTGCTCTCCTTGTTGACACGACACTGTCTCCTAGTGGGTTTAGTGCTAGTAACCTGCGATCGTAGTCACAGTCGTGGCGCTGGTGGTGGGCTTAGTATAGCAGTCGAGCAGTGGTTACTGTAGTCGTCATAGCAGAAGTAGCAGCAGCAGTCTTAGTCGTCGTCGTGAAGGTGTTGTTGTTCTTGCTGGTGGTGGTGATGGTGGTGGTGGTAGCAGTAGTAACAAGTAATAGAGGAAGAAGAAGTAGTAGTAGTAGTCGTCGTCGTAGTAGTGGTGGTGGTGGTAGTAGCAGTAGCAGTAGCAGTAGCAGTAGCAGTAGCAGTAGCAGTAGCAGTAGCTGTAGCTGTAGCAGTAGCAGTGCCAGTGGTGGTAGTAGTAGTAGTAGTAGTTGTTGTTGTTGTTGCTGTTGCTGTTGCTGTTGCTGTCGCTGTCGCTGTTGCTGTTGCTGTTGTTGTTGTTGTTGTAGGAGTAGGACTAGGAGTAGGAGTAGGAGTGGGAGTAGCAGCGGCAGCAACAGTAGTAGAAGAAGAAGAAGTAGTCGTAGTAGTAGTAGTAGTAGTAGTAGTAGTGGTAGTGGTAGTGGTAGTGGTAGTGGTCGTGGTAGTGGTCGTGGTAGTGGTACTGGTAGTGGTAGTGGTCGTGGTGGTGGTGGTGGTGGTGGTGGTGGTGGTCGTAATGGTAGTAGTAGTAGTAGTAGT